GACTTTTTCTCTAGGAATATAATGAAGCTTGCATTTGTTAAGTGTACTTAAAAAAAACAACCAACGAAAGCATTTTATGCAAATTAAAATTAAACATAAATTTATTTTATTGTACCATTATTGTTGACAAACATTAAAATTTTTATGATACAAATTTTGTAACTTCTCTCCCCTCCCCTCTACCTCCGAATCATGCATCATTTTTTTCATTAAAACAAACCCTATCAACCTTAAACAACGTGTCTTGAAGTGTATTTTTCCAAAAGCTAAAGAGACCCTCTTCATCAAGTTCCAATGTTTTTAATTGCCATCTGAAAGAATAAGTTATTTTCGAAAATATGTGCTGTAAATAAAGTCTTTCTTGATATTTTTTAAAAATATTGGTTTTGAAATTGCAATTGGAATAGAAAATATACTTTAGAAATAAACGACTCATATATAAGTGAAAGCAAAAACTTGTAAATTAACTGCGAATGAAGGAATTAGGGTCTCCTGGTCTTGTTTATGTAACTATTCTCTCTGTTTAATAAGTTTTAGAAGCTGTTAGATGACAAACTGGAGAGTATCGGAATAAAACTATGAACCGGTGATACGAGGCAAATCCCTTGACTAGAGCTCTATTAGGAAGGAGCTGGCTGTGGGGTTTACTGCTTGACAGATCGCACCTTACTGTCTCAACCTTCTTTATATCCCCCCTTCTCTATATATATCTCCCTCCCTCTCTGGCTTATTGTCAGTCTGCTATCTTCTTATTAAATATAAAATTGGACTTCATTTTACTATGTTATAAATTTTTGATCTGACAATCCCTTTAGATCGTATCTCAAGTTCGTTTCGATTCAGATTCCTACCAGATGTGCCCATCCTCCCTCCCCCCCAAGGTCAATGGCGCAAGAACCTCTACCCTCCCCCTCCTCCCATGATATTTTATTAGTCACATTTTCTTAAGAACAAAGCAAGCTAAGGTAGAATTGGAAAAATCTTAGATCATTTACAATTACACTTGCTGCAATATGTTCCATGTTTTCCCCTTGTCCCTTTGTTCGAAAATTCATAACCCCATCGAAATTTGTCCCCCTCAGAAATTCAAAAACCCGTCAAAATATGCCCTCCTCAAAAATTTCGATATGAAAACCCCTTCTGGACACCCCGCGATCTCTACTACATCCTTTAAAAAATCAACTATTTACGATTTCATATTGTCCTTTGTATTTGTGCACATGATACTGTTATAATAAATATGGTCTAAAATTCTTATTAATCCTCAAATAATATTTTTCAATAACTGACCGTAATTTCAAACCACTCTAGTCATTTATTTCTAAATAGAACCCTAGTCAGTACTGACAATTATTTGCAAACGCCAGAAACTATATTTTTTATTGTGATTAGGATATCAAAACCAATATTTTTAAAAATAAATTAAGATATTGTTGATTTGTAGCACATATTTACCGAAAATTTGTGATTATTTAAATAGGAATTAAAAAAATAATAGGGCAACTTGTGGAACGAATTAAACTTGAAGGTACATCTTGAAACTCAAAAAGCTTTATTTCAGTTCATTTTATGGGAAAACAAAAACTGAGTATGGATCTGGTAAGAAAAAGTTATTAAAATCGTATAATCAAAAGTTAACATTTTATTTATAATAATGGTACAATAAATAAAATTTATCTTTACTTTTCATTGGAATCAAACGGTTAAACAGATTTTATTGATTTTTTTTTATTACACTAATCTGTAACGATTAGCAATACATTTTCTTTTCTTACTAGTCATTCAATTATATTATGATTTTATGGAATTCAAAATCATTTTTATATTAAATTATTTTTTATCAATTCCCTAAGCATATTTATTACTTGATTAAGATGAGCAGATTTTTCGTACATAAATTCAATATGCTCCTAAATAATCCTCTCTCCTCAACCTTACTGAAAACCGTGACGGGTGACCGTAAGAATTTTTGAGGAATGTGTAAAATAGGGCGATTATTATTGTTGAAAAGAAATAGATTCCTAAAAACATGAGTAAAAACATGAGTTTTTTTTTTAAAGTTGTAATAAAAGTATCGTTCTTGTTGACAATATCGCGATTGCTTTGAAACATTTGGGACGGTTGATAACCAAATACTTCAAGTACAGAAATAATTATGAAATCATTTGATCATTGACGCTGTATTATGGACCACATAAATGGTATTTTAATTTCAACACTTAAACTGTGGTGTTTAATTTACGAGTAGAAGTTGGCTTTGATTGAATTCTTTTATATATTATGAACGTGTTTCTTTTTAACTTGTTTTAATTTTTTTTTTTTTTTGGAAATTAGATTTAAACGAAAAATATTCATGACATTCTAAAATATTCTTTTATGGTGGCAATATTTTAAGCTTACAGAAACTGGTCAGTCAATATCCCATGATATGAAGGCACGGAGGTTAAGATGGGCGGGACATGTAGCTCGTAGCAATCCATATGAAAGGCTCTAAGTAACAATGAATGCTTCAATATAAGGCTTAAGGTCACTTGAAAGACCAAAAAGCAGATGGATGGATCGAATCAACAAAGATGCAATAGAGCTGAGTGCAGATAACTGGAAAGAAATAGCCCGAGACAGGCAGAGATGGAGCAGGCTTGTTAAGGCGGCTAAAGATCTACATGGTTTGCAATGCCAACAGAAAAAAATAAAGTTGCAACCTTTTTAATAATAAATTAAACTATTGCTGTTCATGATATATAATCTATGCTACGAGTAGTGAATGTATAGCATAAACTTATTACATTATTCATGTTATCTACTGTATAATTTAGGCGTTGTATTATAACTTCTGGTCGTTATTAAATGGTGGTTCGATTGCTACTTTTATCTTTCTTACGGTATTAATTTGCTCCAATTTATGAAGAAAATCTTTTATTTGTCAAATCTCTTTTTTTAAAAACTTTTTTATGCTTTTTACACCTTTATAGAAGACCAAAACCCATTCAAAAATGTGGTAAAGTTTATGTTTAATAAATTATCTTGCTATGGAATTTCGGAAGTATAAATTATCATTAGTGAAAATCATAAGTATTTTATTTTATAATAATAATATAATAATATAAAGTATTGTATTATAATAATAAGTATAAGTATTTTAAACTCCTGTTTTTATAATCATCATGTTACCGAAGGTCTCGTTTGTGTCATTATTTCCATAAATAAATCGAGTTTCATTATCTGGACATTAACAATCTACTTTTATATTGCCTATGATTTTGTAGTTATTGTTTTTTTTTAACGAAATCGTAAACCTATTTTATGTAATATTTATAATTAAAACTGCTATACTTAGTATCTTCGGACAGGTAATTTTTTCAGTAGAACTAACTGTTCGTGGTACTTAATCAATCCTAATATATTGGAGGCATATGATTACTCCCCTACAAGTTTGTTTGTCAGCCGTCTACAGGTTTCTGAACCGAATTTGCACTTTGGTATCGAAAAAGTTGTCAAATTGTCAATAGTTATAATTAAGGATAATTTTATATTTAAATGGATTGAACACTGACTTCCAAATTCTAGGTCCCGGGTTCGAACCCGGCTGACGGAAGATAATTATTGATTAGACTAATTATTTCATCTACCCTGGGGTCAGAAGACCTTACTGGGGCATACTCAGCTTTTATAAAGTGATTACTCTGAATTAATTAATAGATTAAGGGAGGAAACCTAGCTGGACGCGTGTTCTTGACCAAATCACCCCCTTGCACAACCGTTGACCAAAAAACAGTACTTCATTACATAGTATTGAATCCCCTTCATGAATACTGGAGCGTGGATTTGCTTCAGTAGCCGGCAATAGCAAAAAATAACAACTTATCTTTGTCATTTGATCACTTTGACTTCTTACCCGAAGAAAGCAAGATTTCATTAATAAATTTATGTAAAGATTGAATTAATTTATATAATTCTGTTAAAGAAATTTCGCATGGTTTTTTGTTCGGTAGCGGAAGATTACAATTGGTACAAAAAGAAATAAAAATAATCGGGAAAAATTCACGTGCCCTCGAGATTTTTAAATATTTATACATTTCCTCTGAAACTTTTTCTGGGGTCGGAATTCGTGGAAATATTGATCTAAAATTTTAATGATATGGGTGAAATTCTTTCTGGCTTAATTGTTTCTGAAAGTGGAAAGCGGCATTGTAAAGAAATTTGTTACATTTTTTTTTTCACTTATTATATTTCAAAGAGTCGTGTATGAATAATTTTCAGATTTTTTAATTCCATTTGTATATTCGGTCCTCTTCACATCTTTGCATATTTGCGCCCATCTAGGTAATCAATCGCTCACTCCCGTTTCATGCTTTCCTAGAATCACCTTTATCCAATTTTGTCCACTATATGTTCTGACATGACTGATGTGGACTCTCTATAAGATAATACTTGGCACAGGCGGATTTACGGAGGGGGGAGGGGACTTTCGGGCTGAATCTCTCCCCCCCCCCCAAAATGGTAAAATATAACCATGTTTTATAGGAAAAAATATTAAAAACTATCTCTAAATCTATTATTATTCGTCTAATTACATTTAATAGGACTTCAAGAACCACTAAAACACCATGTCATATGGTTAGTTAATTTCTTTCTTTCTTTTTTTCAAATTAATTATCATTATATATATAAAAAAAATCCTTCGGGCTGAAGCCCCCCCAAAATTAAATCCTGGATCCGCTAGTGATACTTGGTAATAATATTCTTTACAAAAAAAGGTAATAATAATTTGTTTTGGATAAAAAAAAAAATCCTAATAAATTACACCTCTAAGGTTTTATGCTTAATAAAATGTAAAAAAAAGTAGAAAAGATTTTAGTTGAGATTTGTTCACTTGATATTGGAATCGACATCCTGTGTTGGTGTCTTAAATACGTTACTGTTGCATCATCGTTTCCCTGCTTCAAATTGTTAGTATTATTGAGAGTGTTCTTGTTATTTACACTCATGTTCTGTTGCAGTACGCCCAGGAAACCCAACACGAGAAGATCCTCCGCGGATTGGCTGTTGGTATAGCCCTGGTGATGTACGGAAGACTGGAAGAGGCGGATCCCCTGATCGCCCAACTCATGTCCGACAAAGACCCCATCCTAAGGCGTAGCGCCATGTACACTCTCGCCATGGCCTACTGCGGCACTGGCTCCAACATGGCCATCAGGAAATTACTCCACGTAGCCGTAAGTATCGTTAAATAAGTACTTGTACTTCATGTCTGGCGATGATCCTTGTGTAACACCGCTTTTTACAGGTGTCCGATGTCAACGACGACGTGAGAAGAGCTGCTGTGATGGGCTTAGGATTCCTCTTGTTCAGGTGAGTTTATTTTTTCACGATGCATGTATTATATGAATCATTTAGAATTAAAACCCTTTATGTCATTTTTGCATGAAAAGTAATTTTATTTTCAAAAAGTAAAGTTTAAACGCCCTTTTATCAATTTATTACCGATATCGCTACAAAAATTGAATAGAACGTTAAGGTTTTAAATAGGAGCACTTTGGATGCGTAGTTTCAAGCAAAGACCTTTCTTATTTCTTGTCGAAAAAAACCCATCGGAAATACTGTCATATCACCGTGTCAATGGACAAGGTATTTCAAAAAAAAAGTTGACATCTGAATGAAATCAATCGTCTGCCCAAAAATAAATAATTTGTTATTCTTTTATCTCTCTGTATATAAAATATGATGAAATATATGGGAATATAGTTTTGATTCTACAAGACTCATATTTATTATTAGTTTATGTTGATTTTAAATTACGTGTATATTATGTACGACATTGAAGTATCGTTTTGTGTACTTCATTTTACTTGTGTTATTTATTTGAGTTTTATTTTTATTTGTTTTGCCTTCAGAAAAAAATATATAATTTTCCTCACTAAATAACATAAAAAAAAAAAAAATAGGTAATCATTTGGTTAAGTTAATGAGTTGAGGTTTATGTTATTTAATCGTCATATTTTAAAACACTCTCTTCACCTAATTAACTGAAGTCGTTTTTTCTCAATACATTATTTTTTTAATAGCGAAATATATGTATGATAAACAACCTTCTTTTGCTTATTCATATTTTTGGTGAGATTTTTTATTTATTATTATATTTAATCTGTGCATGGTTATTTTTGTTTATATAAGAACCCTTTTTAAACTCACAGTCATTTATTATATATTTAAAACATTTTTATAATATTTAAAAATGATGATTTTTAACGTTTCTGCTCCAAGAACCTTATACTTTAGTCATATTAAAAACATTTTTTTCTAAATAAATTTTAAAATATATATGTATATAGAATACTAGTCTATAGTAGTACCATAAAAAATTCTCTTCTTTTCCTCATTTCGTCAGAAACTTGATATTTAATTTCTTCTTTTTTTTGATCACCCGCATTTTATCGCCACTGAGCTGTAGTCTAGACCTGCGAAATGTATGGTTTTAGGCTTAGATTACTCTAATTTATTTTCTTTGATTTACACGTTCTAATCTATATATTTTGATAAAGTTGTCAGTTATTTTTAAACTATTCAATTTATATATTATGGAAGAGGCTAGTTTATGTGATTTGACGAATGTACTCTTATTGATTATCTTCTTTATAGTAATCTTAATTACGCACGTTCATACTCAAATGTAAATAATTTAAATAACGAACACCATGTTCATAGAGAAATAACAGTGATAACTGGTCTGGTGGAAGTTTAGACGTGGGGGGAGGGGAGAGAGCTTCCCCGATGGTCTGGAAGATATCTTGATTTTGATAAATTGCTTCTGTAAAAGTTTTCCCTCGAGATTGTTAGTAAACATTTCTGATCTGTACTCCTCTTTTATTACTTATTTCCAGCTTGACGGGGAGGCAGCTGTAATTCTACACATAGCGCTTAAATACACACTATAACTGTTACATTATTATTTAAGATTTATTTACATGAAAATTTTTATAATTTTTTGTTAGATTTCAAATGAAAAATCCTGCGACAAATAGGTCATAGATAGAGAAACCTCTATCATTAGAGGCCGCCGTATAGTTAGGAAGTGTTAATGGAAACAACAACAGTTTTTTAAATATTTTATTGTTATTTTTATTTATCACTAAATACACGCATATATATATATATATATATATATATATACAGTTTAATTTTATTGGTTTTCAAATTTTCATTTCTTAAATAATAGTTCGTGGAACAGACCCCTTATTATCAAATTAGTAACATTCGCTTGAAACTTCGTGAATAGCTTCATCTCATCTTAACCTACAAATATTTCATTTACGAAAATTCTCGGAATCGGGGCGTTTTCAATCTGGAGATCGGCAAAGTTTGTCTATTTAATCAGGTACTAAAAGCTCGTAAGTACGCATTTGCTTTCTACTTGGATCGTAAGATAACTCACAAAATCGAGAAAAAAGGTGGCCTATGAAAATATTGTGTCGTTTGGCGTACATAATCTCGTTGAAACATTGGGGGTTTAGGTCACACCATATTTTTCCTCGATTTTGTGATTAAATTATCTGATGATTCAGGTGAAAAGCAAATAGGTATTTCGGAGCGTTTAGTGCCTAATTAAATAGACTCCGAATTGAAAACGCCCCAATTCCGAGAATTATCATAAATAAATTAATTGTAGTTTACAACGAGATGAAATTATTTACGAAGTTCTAGGCGGATGTTAATAATTTGATGAAAAGGACTCAGTACCACGGAATGAAACTAAATATTAATTAATTCTAGTGCTAGATAAATAAATATCGCTCAAAAACGTTTGGAGACCACATGGACAAGATAGTTGAATATATATATATAAATAAAAAAAAAAAATATCTTCTTCGTATTTTTGTTTTAAAAAAATTAATACAATAAATATTGTATTATATGGATTTTGTTATTTAAATATGTGTCAGTTATAAATAATTCGCATAGCATGTTGTACAGTAAACAATTGGCAATATAATGTTGAAATAATTAAATGAAATGTATTATGAGAGAGAGGAATTGATTTTACTTTTCTTATGCGATTACCATGATTCATTCGTTATAATAAACCTATTTATACAAACTACAATTGATCATATCTTTGCTAAAAATGGCTCTTTTTCTTTCGTTAGTGCATTTAGAAACCTTCCGAATTATTATGGATATAATCCACCATGAAGTGTATGCGTTTTGAGTTACGTGGTAATTAAGTTTCGTTTCCTTCCCCGGGAATGAGCTTATTTTTTGCGCCTGAAAGAGGAGATCATCTTCAGTATGATGGCTCAGTCATTGGAATTGATGAAGAATTGACGATGAAGCACTGAAAAAAAAACACCTCTGAGAAATAATATATAAAAATATACTTTAGAGATGAACAGGACAATTAAATTAAAATTTAGAATGTCCGTCAAGCAGATGGAAATCAGGCTTTTAAAATTTAGAGTTATTTATGACGAATAACACATCTGTTGATTTCCAGATTAATTAAAATATAACCTTAATGTTCTTTTGATTTATGCTCTTTTCATTTACTGAAGATTAATGAATTTATTGAAATATATAACGACGTTACTTTGTTTCTATACAGATTAATCTAACATATAGATTATGTTTAAAGATCTATTTAATTTATTTTTGTAATTCTGAAGTTGTATATTGGGAAAGGATGAAGATGAAGTTAAGCTGAAATTGGAAAGCTCATCCAAACCTGGTGCAATCAAGGGTAGGTAAACATAGTTTCCCAAAGCTGCCTGTATTTGCTCTAGGCTTGTTCCAAACCATTTCCTACATCGGGTAAATCTTTTTAATTAGATTGTCACGTATTCTGATCATTGGAACGAGTATAGTTTTTAAGAGCTTATAAGAAATCAAAGAGTAAAAATCTATTCCTTTCATAATTTACTCAGATGATTTTTCCGGAATGTTCTAACATTTTCCTTCGAAAAAGGTGATATTCATCAATCATCTTATCAGTATCGCTGGTTCGAACTATACACAATTAAAAATTTTAATAAATTTATATGTTTGTTAGTGTGTCCACTGCCACAACTCTAAAGTGAATAAGTTTCATTATTTCGTAGGTGTTCATAATCATCAAAGTAGTAATTAGTCACACAAGTTTGAAACTTTTGTAGTTGTGCCTATTTATTCCAAACTAATAAGATTATATATTGTAACGCAATACTGATTCAGAAAAATGTTTGTTTCTTTGGGACCGATTTAATTTTTTTTCGGTATTTTGAGGGAACATAAAATTCGACACGCTAAAACCTTAAAAAGAACTGTGAAGTTTCCAGAATTCTCTGAAAAAAAAGCGAAATAAAATAGAAATTGATAAATCACTCAGGCGTTACTAAAAAATGATCTTATGTATTTGTTGAACCTGGTGCTCTATTCCTTCCTATTCTTTCTATTCACGAAAAGTTCTTCACATTTCGTGCGGGCTTAACTCTCTGGAAACATAGGTTGCTCCTTTCAACCTTTTATTTATATCTGCATTTTTGTTTTTCTGTTCTGTACTGAAAAACTATAGAATAAAACAAAAATACATCTATACAAGACTATGATCTGCCCAGTATTGACCTATGGCTTTGGCCTACCACCAAAGTAAATTAAAGAAAACTTCTTACTTTTGAAAGAAGGATCCTCCGAACAATCTTTGGACCTGTAAAAGAAAAAATGCGGTCTGCCGCAGAAGAAAAAATCAGTAACCTCAGGAACTTTACAACGAGGTGGATCTGGTCAGGTTCATAAAGCGCTGGGCTGGCCATGTCTCTTGAATGGATAATTCCGGAATTCTGGAACTAGTAATGTTAAAGAAACTGACAAATAGAGCTTCAAGACCTAGGGCAAGGTGGGTGGAGTGTCTGTGGACTCAAGAGACCTCAACAAATACGGAACTGGACACTTGCTTCAAAGGAACCTGCCAGCTGGCGGATGCTTTTAGAGGCGGCACAGAGCCACTGATGGGTGAAAAACTATCCCAAACATGAATGATTTTATTGGTAACCGTAACAGAGTCTTAACACATATTTAGATAAATATCTTAAATTAAGAAAAATTAGTTGCGAATTTTCAGAATATTTAGACCTAGGGAGTTTTAAAATAAGAGTTATTCATTTCAAACAGTAATTTACTCTTTGATTTTAATTAATTAAAATTAAATTTAAAAACATATAAAAGTTATATTTTTTTTTTCCTAGACATTGATATCTGGTATAAGATAATGATTAATATCTTTACCATGGAAAATCATGAATCTGATTGAAAAAAAAAATGTCTACTAATTAGCTTGTTGGATCCTCTTGATGTTTGCCTCGGGTTAAAATACCCCTTAGTTACTCT